CCTTGTCACAGTGAGGACTCCTGGCATTCCAAGGCTCCGAGGCTCCTAGGTTTGATGTACTAGAATTTTAGGCTGTATGTCTGCGGGCTTGGCCTCCAGAGCCTAAAGGTTTCCAAGCACCAGCCCTGCCATTGTCTCTGGTGTGGCTGTGGCCGTGCCTCACAGGCTGCCTCTTATTCCTTCAGAAAGGCCGGCAGACATCATGAAGCCATTGGAAGACCAGCGGGCCATGGCAGGGGAGGATGCGATACTGAGCTGTGAGCTGTCACGGGTGGACTCCCCAGTGCGCTGGCTGAAGGACGGGAAAGCCATTCGCAAGAGTCAGAAGTATGACCTGCTCTGTGAGGGCACGCGGGCCATGCTGGTAGTCCATGCGGCCTCACTCAAAGATTCCGGAGAATACACGTGTGAAACAGAGGCTTCCAAGAGCACAGCCAGCCTCTATGTGGAAGGTAACCCCACAAGAAACTCTGAGGCAGCGCCCATGGCCTCTCTCCCGCAGTGTGTCATGGGGCCACTCCCTCAGGGCCTCCACTGTGCTATCCAAAGTGGAAAGGGAAGGGGCTCAGCCCAGTCCTTGAGGTTGCATGGGCAGGCCAGGGGAAGAACTGCCCATGTCCTGTGGGGTCTGTAGGCCTCACCCCACCCCTTCTTATCTCTTCCCCCAGAAAAGCCAAACCGGTTCACAGAGGAGCTGGCTGACCTGCAGGTGGAGGAAAAAGGCCAGGCTGTATTTACCTGCAAGACAGAGCGCCCTGCAGCCACGGTGACCTGGAGAAAGGGCCTCTCTGAGCTGCAAGCCTCGAGGAAGCATGCACCCAGCCAGGAGGGCGTGACCTTGAGGCTCACCATCAGTGCCCTGGAAAAGGCAGACAGTGATACGTACTCCTGCGATATTGGCCAGGCAAGGTCCCAGGCACGGCTCGTGGTGCAAGGTGAGGCTGGTGCATTGCACGGATTTCATGACCTGTGATATGGCCAGTGTAAGCCTTGTATAAAACTGTCTCAGAGGCCCTGGACAAGCCCAGCCTTGGTTTCCCCGTCTGGAGGGGTTGCCTTGGGTGGCTCATCTCTGTGGCCTCCCAGTTGGACCTTGTGCAAATGAGTCAGCAGTCCTCATTTATTACTGCATTTGTGTTTCTGGAGCTCCTCCTATGTGCTGGCAGTGCCCAAGCCCATTGCATAAGCTCGTGTGTATTTGCACACAGATGTACCGCCTCTGTGCATGGAGGTCTCCAGGTTTGAGGAACTGTTTGTACCTGGCAGGCAGGGTGAGGGTCATCATTGTCTCCATCTCACAGATAAAGAAACTGATGCTTTACTTGGGGTCAGAGGCTGGACCAGGGTTCTTGGGCGTGTTGGCATCTGGACAGGGTTGAATCCGACCTTCCGTATCCCAGGGCCAGCATCCAGGGTCTCTCCCTTCTTCCTTCCCTCCCTTCCTCCCTCTCACTCTTCTAAAAACCAGTGGAAAAAATGCAGGTATCCTCCTGTGAGGATTAAAAACAAAAAACACACTCATGAGCCCATCTGGTGGCCCACGCCTTTTCTCTGAGTGTCGGTCTTCAAATCAAAATTATTTTTCTCTGACCAGTCACCTCTTGACACACCAACTGTGCTTTCTAGTGCCTTGTGCCCAGTGTCCATCCAGTGTCTTGTGTTTGGTGTCTAGTGCCTGGTGTCCTGGCATCTGGTGCCCGGCATACGGCAGCTTCAAAACACCCGTGAATATGGAGAAATCTGTTGCACACCCATTTTCGTGTTTAACTTTCTCTGAGTGTCCCTGACCTAAGTTGGCAGAAAAAAAAAATCCCTAGCAATTCATGTTGTCAAACCTCCAGAGCATTGGATTTAAATTTCACATAGTCACATGTCTTTTTTCAGCGTGTCCATTGGGCCTGGTCAGTTTAGCTCTGACTTCCTTGCTGTTTCTCAGTTTCATCATCCTGAACCCATTAGAGGTCTGGGAGAGCACCCCGTTTCCCTTGGTGGGGTCCTGATGTGTCCACCCTGTCCCCCAGGTCAGAGAGTGCTCATCACAGAGGACCTGAGGGACGTGGAGGTGCAGGAGGGCTCCTCTGCCACCTTCAGCTGCCGTGTCTCCCCTGGGGACTATGGGCCTGTCTACTGGTTCCTGGACAAAACACCTCTGCACCCTAATGAGCTCAATGAGATTAAGACCCAACCGGGTGGTTACCATATGCTCACCCTGCGGGAGCTTGGGCTCAAGGACTCAGGCACTGTCTACTTTGAAGTGGGCGACCAGCGGTCCTCGGCCACCCTGCGGGTCACAGGTGGGCTGCATGCCAGTGCTGTGGTGGGGACCGTCCATGTGGCTCAGGATGCAGTGTGATCCTGGGGCTCACAGAGCAGGTGCTGTGGACTGGGCCTTGGGGCCAGGGTGGGCTTGGGAGGCTGGGTGTGGCTGCTTCAGGATGCATCATTGCACGTGGTATGCAGAGCTGATTCCATGGTCAGCGTGGCATAGGCCTGGCCATGCCCCTGGAGTGTGGGGAGCCATGCAGAGGCCGGCCTGTCTGTGTCCCCAGGCTGAGGTGGACAGATGGGTACTGACCTGGGTGTCACCTAGGCTGCAGCGACACCTGGAGCTTCTGCAGGAGCCTCCATGTGCCCTGTACTTCCCTCTCTGTCCCCAGAGAAGCCAAGTGTCTTCTCCCAGGAGCTCACGGATGCCACAGTCATGGAGGGGGAGGATCTGACCCTGGTCTGTGAGACCACTGTCCCGGACAACCCTGTGCATTGGACCAAGGATGGGAAAACCCTGCGGGGGTCGGCCCGGTGCCAGCTGAGCCGTGAGGGCCGCCGAGCCCAGCTGGTCATCACTGGCACCACCCTGCAGGATGGCGGGCGCTACAAGTGTGAGGCTGCGGGTGCCTGGAGCAGCTCCATCGTCAGGGTCCACGGTGAGCCCTCAGGCAGGAAGGACCAGGCAGCTTCCAGCCATGCTCTGTGTTCCCACCGCTCTCATCTTGTTCAGGGCCGGGAAGGCCCCAGACCTCACCCAGCTCCTTCCTTCTCTGTCTTTGCCCTCTCGGTGTCTGTGAGAGTGTGTGTGTGTGTGTGTGTGTGTGTGTGTGTGAGTGTGGTGGGGGCAGGGAGGGGGTGTTTCGTCTGGCTCTGCCTCTCCACAGCTTATCCCCCCTCACTGCTTCTCCCCATCTCTGGGTCTGAGTCTCTGCTGCTAATAGAACCTTTCTCACCCTCTCTTGGTCTCCTGTCTGCCAGTATCTTTTGTACTTTATTCCTGACTTGGTCTTGCATTCTGACATCTCTCCTCCCTTTGTCTTGTATTCTGACATCTCCCCTCCCTCCCCTGGGCTTGGCTCATCTCCATCAGCCTGGGCTGTGTAACAAATACCACAGACATAGCAGCTCAAACTCCAGTCATTTATTTCTCCCAGTCCTGGAGCCTGAAAGTCTGGGACCCAGGTGTGGGCAGGGCTGGTCCCCTGGAGGCCTCTGTCCTTGCTGTGTGGATGGCCATCTCCTCCTGTGTCCTCCCTTGGCCGTCCCGCTGTATGTATCTGTGTCCTGATCTCTTCTTCTTATAATGACCCCAGTCATATGGGATTAGAGCCCATTCTAATGATCCCACTTCGCCTTCATCACATCTTTAAAGGCTCCACTTGCCAATACAGAACTATCTGAGGTCCTGGGGTTGGGGCTCCAATGAGTGAAGGGGGACACAATGCAGCTCATGACACCCTACCCTTCTTTGTTCTTTTGTTTGGCTCCCCCTCCTGGAGGGTCACCTTCACTAGCCCCTGATGTAGAAGGGTGAGGTGGGCCTCCTGCACCGTGCTGCTCCCTCCAGCCCTCCTCAACTGTAGGGGAGCCCCAGGTGCATGCAGGAGTGAGGACAAGCTGAACCTGCGCCTTCCACAGCGCGGCCCGTGCACTTCCGGGAGGGCCTGAAGGACATGGAGGTGCTAGAGGGCGGTGCTGCCACACTGCGCTGCAAGCTGTCAACGGTGGCTGCACCTGTGGAGTGGCGCTGTGGAGATGAGGTCCTGCGGCCAGGAGGCAAGTACAGGATGCGGCAGGAGGGTACCATGCTGGAGCTGGTGGTCCAGGACTTGCAGCCCGGCGACAGCGGGCAGTACGTCTGCTGCTTCGGGGACCAGACAACTTCAGCCACGCTCACCGTGAAGGGTACGAGTGCCCCTGCCCTGCCCATGCAGCCCCATTGGTATCTTTCATCCCCTGTAGGAGGATGAGGATGAGGTTCTCAGTCTCTGACCCTCCACAGCCCTGCCTGCGGAGTTCATAGGAAGACTGAGAAGCAAGGAGGCCACGGAAGGGGCCGTGGTAACGCTGCGCTGCGAGCTGAGCAAGGCGGCCCCCGTGGAGTGGAGGAAGGGGCTCGAGACCCTCAGAGCTGGGGACAGAGTCAGCCTGAGGCAGGACGGGGCCGTGTGTGAGCTGGAAATTTGTGGCCTGATGGTGGCGGATGCCGGGGAGTACTCGTGTGTGTGTGGGCAGGAGAGGACGTCGGCCACACTGACCGTCAGGGGTAAAGACCATGTGTGGCCAAGCAGAGCCGTGCCTTGGTTTCAGTTACTCGCTTCATGACATCTGCCTGTGCTCATTCCATGTTCTCTGCTGTCTCAGTGTCATTCTCTTCCCATAATTCCACAGAATACCTTCCACCTTCCTGGCTGTTGTGCAAACCATGAGAAACCAGCATCTAGGCCACTTCTCACTGCTGTGTCACTGATGGTTTTGTTCTGTTTCCTGTCAGTGTCTGTATCACGTCCTCTGTCCTGTTAGGTCCTCTTCCAAAGCTCTTCACAGAATCTAATGTTCTCTGTCTCTGACCCTCCATAGCCCTGCCTGCGGAGTTCATAGGAAGACTGAGAAGCAAGGAGGCCACGGAAGGGGCCGTGGTAACGCTGCGCTGCGAGCTGAGCAAGGCAGCCCCCGTGGAGTGGAGGAAGGGGCTCGAGACCCTCAGAGCTGGGGACAGAGTCAGCCTGAGGCAGGACAGGGACCTGTGTGAGCTGGATATTCGGGAACTGGTTGTAGCAGATGCCGGGGAGTACTCGTGTGTGTGTGGGCAGGAGAGGACGTCGGCCACCCTGACGGTCAAGGGTAAAGACTGCATGTGGCCATATGGAGCAGTGGCTCTGTGTCTGAGGGCTTGGGCAGGTCCTTTGCTATGTCCATGTGCGTAGGTATTTCCACTTCTCTCTGTGTCTCCTGCTATCCTGCAGCAGGAGTCTCAGCACAAAGCTGTGTGAGGCCTTCCCAGATAAAGATCAGAAAACAAAGCTTCCTCTCTTACAGGGTCACCTCTGG